TGTAGATCAGGCTACGTAGGCTTATAAAGTATTCGTTTTTTATATAATAAAATATAATATAACAGAAATTTTAACTTATATATTAAAGTAAATCAAAATAAATTTTTACTCCAAGTGGAGATTGAAATTAAAGAAAACCAAATTATTAATCTTAAAATTGTTTTTAATTAATTATGCCAATTGTCATATATGCCTACAAAATGCTGCCGATACTATAAATATAATGATTTCAGAAGAAAAACATGGCATGCAAATATTTTTGGTATATCACCTTTTTTTAATGTCCATGATAATTGATTAACAGATGAAGTCTGAAGCAAAATGTCATATGCAGATAAAAAATAATTTCTAATCAGAAAATGGCTTTCAGAATTCAAAATATCCGCTCCAAAACAGTTTTTATGAAAGAAATCGCTACACGAGTGAAAACATTTTTAAAATTTCATATAATCGCTTTTCATTTCTAAATTTATAAGCTATATTTGAGTCCCACATCTTTTTGGCCTAATTGCCTCAGACTTCAGGTTGTAATTGTCTTAAAATATTTCAATATATTAAAGATTGAAAAAAAAAAAAACAATCGCATATTTTTTTATATTTAAGAAAAGCATTTATTTTACTTTTTTATTGTTTTTTCAATAAATATATATTGTTATTTTAGAATTTTAAAATATGTAATTCCTTCAACGTTTGCTTATAAGTTACAATAAGCTCGCTTGATTAAAAATGTTTCAAATTTAATTTAGTAACATATTTTATGTATTTCTAACTGTATACCTAATCACCAATCATTTTGTAATTCTATTTTGATCAATTAATTTTAAATTAGTTTCTGTCCTCCATTAATATAATTCAATCTTTTCATACTTATCGTAGGATTGTTTTTTATACTACTGAGCCCAAAAAGTAAGACCAATTTTTTTTTTTCAAACACTCTTTATTTATTCTTCCAAATTTAGTTAATCGCCTTCAAAGTAATCTCCTCCGGACACAATGCATTTATGCCAACTTTTTTTCCAATCCTCAATGCATGTTAAAAAGTCATCGGCACGGATGGCCTTCAAAGCGGACGGTGATTCACGTTGAATCTCTTCAATCTATCGACATTTGACGCGTTTGATGCCCAAAAAGGAATTGACCGATCCTTTTGAAATTCCGAAAACATCAGCAAGGTCTCTAATTGTAAATCGAAGATTTGCAAGCATCAAATCTTTAATTTTTTGGACGTGAGCTTCGTCGGTTGAGGTGGATGGTCGACCAGAAGGCTTTTCGTCTTCAACGCGTTCTCTGCCTTCTTTGAACTGTTTTTACCGCTTCCGAACATTTCTTTCCGATATAAGAATTCTCACCGAATGCCTTCTGCAACATTCTATACTATACATTCTTTCCGCAAACAAAATTGAATGCAAGTTCTTCGCTCAATTAATTCAGACATTTCAAAGATCGCGGAATCAGTTTTCGCGTCTCACAAAGCCACGCGTAACTCAAACACTAATGAATCTTTTGACGTTAAATTTCACACAGATGTCAAAGACAGTGCCAGCAACCTAAAAAGAAAAAAAATTCAAAATAATCTTAATAAATTCCATAAGCAACGGAAATTTTAAATTGAAAACTGGTCTTACTTTTTGGACATTGTACAATATTTTTTTTAGATATTCGATCTGTATATACAAAGATAGTAAGTACTAAAGTACTAATACCTAGAATGAATTAAAGTGTTTGCTAATCCTGCATGAGATTTTATACTTCATTTGTTATTTTGATGAAATACTTTATTTATTAGTTTTATTTTAGTAATGAAATTTATAATGGAAAGATACAAAATATGTATTGCTTACTTAAAAGTTCATGGGACGCTTTTGATATAGGTAAACATATCTATAACTATAATTGAATGCATGATTACTGTTATTATTGAATTATTCTGAAACATATCTTTTACATAGAATCGAGCTCCCTCCCACCTCCCAGTTGCATCAAGAAGAAGCATCAAGACATAACCTAGTGGCTTTTATTGATCAGAACTGCTTACTCTTCTGATTTTCTTGGATAACATTTGAGAGATATAGTTATCAGTGAGCACGTGTAAAATATACTTTTCTATCAATAGTTTTAAATGAAGTTAATAAATAAGGAGCATTGAATGAAATGTACCATAACCAAAAAGCAAAAATATCATACTATCATTTTTAACTACTTTTTATTTGATATTTCTTTAAACAACGAAAAAATCTAAGTAAATCTATCTTTAATCAACGAGAAATGCAAATATTTGAGAAAAAGGAAATATAAATATTATTCCAATAATAAACTTAGTTACGTATATAATAACTTAACTTTTTAAAAAATTTAGCAAGCCTTTTTTGCAAAAATGAAACATTTGTTTACTTTTCGATTAATGATAAATTAAAAAAAGCAAACAATTATAATATTTATAATAATTAACTATAGGCGACGTTAAATAAATAACGATTTTAATTAAATCAAAGGAAAATGATGAAATATCTCCTACAATGGAATTAAACTGAAAATCCAATAAACATGAATTTGTGGGGTTTTTTCCATTACTCTTCTTAAGTATTTCCTAATGGTATCCAATAAACAATTACTTTTAAGTATAACAACACCACTGTAATTTAAAATATAAAAAATACAGGAAAAAAATTTGATGAAGTTTTACATTGAGGTGCATTAGCAAAAGAATTAGACCGCGTAATGGATGTGTTGCGGTAATATTTACCAAGGTTGAATTTAAGGTAATTCTGTGAAATATTCAGATACTTGTCCTAAAGTCACTCACCGTACATATGGCAGATATAAAGTTCATCGAAGCATAATCCAGGGAAGTCTAATATATTAATCCATTAGAGGGAAAAGGGGAATAATGCTTATGGGGAACTAAACTGAGAGGGTTACTTCCTCATAGTGTTTGTTACCAGCATACATCTTTTATGAACCATTTCAAGATCATATTTCATAGTTTGTCGGTCGTCTACCTTCTGCACAAATGAACAGTTTTTTTTTTTTCATCTAATTCACCGCTGGAGAAAAGGCAAATATAGGCGTTGGAATATCATTGTGAAGGCTGGCAGATATTTCAGCCCTGGAAGTAGGGGTAGTATTTTGGGAAAAAGGTCAAATCCAAATAAAACACAATACCCACTTTTTATAGAATTTTGATTAGTCTTCATGGGGAACATAAAATATATTGGCTTTAATTCATATTATTATACGATAATTTATAAGCAACATAAGATTTTCAAATAACTTATCTTAATTTAATATAGTAATTACAGGGAAAATTTAAGAAAATAAGGCGTATCCATATAAGAAAAAACATATAAGGTGATATATAATATCAACTACGTTGAAAAGAAATGGATGAGAACGATATTTTATCAATCTGCTAATAATTTTAATTTTAATTACATTTTAATCAACTTTTGAAAGCTGATAGTAAAATCATCACATAATTATATAAACAGTAATTTTATTGTTATTATTATTTAAATTTTATTCAAAGGTATGAATATGATTGATATCATAATTAGAAATTATGATATCAATCATAATAAATATATCAATAAATATATATAAATATATAATAAATATATTTGAATAAAATTTTTCTTTATTAATTTAATTTTTTATACTATAAAATAAAAATATGTTCAATAAAAGGAAATTTATTAATTTGTATACTTTTGAAAATATAAATTATTATCAATTCATGGATACATTATTTTTTTCTCTCATCTTCCAGAAATATTTTTAAAATTAAATTTCATTTAGAACAAAATATAGAAATTTCATTTAATAAAATGAAACTCATTAAAATAATTGTATTTTTCTTATCATTCATTATTTAAAGAATTCTTATGTAACTGTAGAAAAAGTAGCTGAATCAAATAATAAAGTTTTGAAAGAAATTACTTATCACAGTTTTTTTTTTACGATGTCTTCACATTCCTAGGATAAAAAATTACAACTAATAATTTTGATTTTAATATATTCTTTGAATGTAATTTCAGATATAAAAATAACTGTTAGAAATTATTTTTAATTGATGATGTAAACTGGCTAACTAAAAAAAAATAATTCAAAAAAAGATTTTAAATACGTTATTGAATAATAATGGAAAACATTTAGGACTTCTAATATTAAAGCAAGTGTCATATATCTAAAGTATATTAAGAACATTAAGAAAGTGTTAATTAAAATTGTATTTTAGGAACGCTGCCAGAAGAAAACAATTTTTTAACATATTTAAATGCTGATAAATCTAAAATAATTGTTATCATGAACGGAACATGATGTTGTCCTGGTTTGGGGTCCGTGATGTTATCCGAAAATGAGGGCCGAGCAAATAAAACTCCATTTCAAGTACTTTGGTACTTTGGGTCCCTTAACACTTGAAATGACTCTTGAATAACGTTAGTCTTAAGGAATTTTCTGGAGAATTTGGCTTTTGATTGAAGTGTTTTGTAGCATGGGTTTGAAGCACTCTTCCTTTTTGAAATTTCATATTTATCACTTTTGGCATTTTCCGGTGCCTATTGAACTGTGCTTCTTATTGTAGTTGGAATATTTCATTCGTCATTTATGCCTACAATTTTAAAACTATGATATATTCTTTTGGCTAAAAAATGTGATAACTTTTCTTGTAAAATTTGGAATATTTCGTTCTTACGACATTTACATTTATGTTGTTGTTGTTGTTGTTGTTTCTTATCCCACTTGGTTGGCCAAGCCCACGAGCCCATACGTACTCATGATTGAAGGGGAAGGAAGCAGCTTCTGTTGTGATGGAGCACCCGTAGGTAGAAGTCTGACTTTGGCTCAGTGACGCTCTTACAGTCATAGGAGACCGGGACCTACGGCTTAAAGTGGATTCCGAACCACTACAAACATCCATGGCACCGCCGGGATTCGAACCCGAAACCTGTGGCCCCGAGCGCCAGACACTCGGCCATTCAGGTCCCAAATTTGTGAATGCCAACGGCACGCGATGTTCCCAGGTGGTCACCCACCCAAGTACTGACCGCGCCCTTGACTTCGGTGATCTAACGAGAACCGGTATATTCAGCATGGTACGGCCGTTGGCCTACTTCATTTATGTTATTTTTATATTCTTTTGTAGATTCTTGAACAATTCATTCTTCATGAAGTACTTGATAAATTCATGTGGCAATTGAACTTGGCCATTCTTGTAGTATTCTAATCAATTGCCTCATATATCTCGTGCATTATTAAAAATTGGCATATTCCTGAGTTTATTCAATGTTCACGCTCAAATGTTCACACATGATAAGTTGAAATTTGCCAAGCAGATTTCAGAATTTTTATATATAATTCTTCTGTGCATGGGCTTTTTTTTTTTTTTTTGCTGATCTTAATTCTTGTCGGAAACATTTTTTAAAAAAATAACTTCTTCATTAAATTTTTCATTCTCATCTGAAATTACAGCATATTCAAACTGTAATTAATTTTTCGAAATTATTTTAAGCCGGGGTATCGCAATTATTCATTTGGTTTCAGAGCGGGACTTTGAAAGGAAATTTGTGAAGTTTTTACCTTTTTCGCAATTGCAGAAACAATACAAAGTCCTAAACTGCAAGCATTCTATAGAAAAAGAAAGATAATTGGAGATAATTAACATTGTTGGTCACAACTATACACTGCCACTACATTTACTTCCTAGGATGTACACCAATTAATTACTCATTTGAAGCTAATGATAGAATGAGAACTCTTTTGTAAAATAGAATTAAAGTTTGGATAATTAAATAATTTATTTTGTTCTTGATAATTAAATAATTTATTGAGTTTATTGTGTTCTTGATAATTAAATAATTTATTGAGTTTATTGTTTTTTTGATAATTAAATAATTTATTGAGTTTATTGTGTTCTTGATAATCAAATAATTTATTGAGTTTATTGTATTCTTGGATAATCTTCGTTTTCTAAACAATAAGAAGATTAAAAAAATCCATGAAATGGAGTTTCAAGTTCATTAAACCAATCGTGCGAAAACAGGTGAAATAATCATGAATAAAAATTTTTTTCTAGAAAATGATGAACACTTTTTAATCCTTTTTAACGCCTGAAATAGAACATAGAACATATTTTTATAGATCATATGTTTTTAAAACGATATGAATCATTGATGAAAAAGAAAAAAGAGTGAAGAATTATGAAAAGGCCGTAAATACTGAAATATTTTACCAATAGTTTTTTAATTTTAATGAATATTAATGATAGAATTAAATATCATTTAGTTTGCCGTTTAATGAAATTTTGTAAAACGGTTACGTTTGTCATAACTGGGATATCTATATATATATACACAAATCTACATCGAAGAACGGATATTAAGTTTAAGATTTTTTTAAAAATTTTCGAAACAATTTTGTAATTTTGAGATTTTTATTATTCCTCTTATAATCTTCAAATTAAAATATTTATTTATTTGATTTATGAATAATATTTTTTCCTTTGGCCAATAATACGTATAGGATATACAGAATTTTTTTTTTAATGATAGATGATTTATTTCTTTTTAGAAATAAATGGTTTAATATTTAAAATAATTGAAAGCAAATTCATTCTCATAAGAAGTTGAACTTAACTGTTGCAACTAAAAGAAGCATTATACAATAAGTTGAATATAAAAGATAAATTACTTATTGGATGGTAAAGCTATAAAATATTTTGATGATTTCTGCAGGCCTAAATTAAAATGTTGGATTGATTAAACACTCTATTAACATATCACTTCACTGCATATATGTGTATTTAAAAAAAAAATAACTGACTCTTGTGCAGACACTAATCTATAAGTACTGAAGAGTTAAGTTAATTGAAAATATGTCTTTGAACTTCGAAAACTTGCAAAGACTTTCAGAGTTATTTGGAAAATTTATTAATTGTAGATTATATAATATTAGTTATTTTAAAAATATGTTTTCCTAAAATTTCAATTTTATAATATTAGTAAATTATTTTTTAAATATTATTACAATCGATTAGTAAATTACTGGATCGATTTCTTGATGTTTAAATCTATTATTATCAATTTCCATAATTGCAATAATGCTATTAATGGTGTTTTTGAAATAGAGTTGGAAATTATGTAAATCATTATGTTAGATGTGAAATATTATACGGTTTATAAGATTTCATTTATAAAAATTTCCATTAAGTCAGGGATTTTTTCAAAAACAATTTTATAAATTATTCTATGAGCCCAATAACTATGCATTTTGGGACTTTGGGACTGCTGTAATTATTGCTGTTTTATATCTTTTTTTTTTTAAGTTTCGAAGATGCAGTTTTTTAACCAGTTAAAATTTAAGTAGAAGTTTTGAAAAAGAATAGAATGTTTACAATATTTATAACAATGGAGTAGTGTTGGAACTCTTAAAACTAACGTAAATTAATTTCCAGAATTTTTTTGAAAATTTTTTCAACTTTTTTTAAAAAATGTCTATTGAAATAATGACCAGTATATATTATTTTATAATGATATTTCTTTGTTAAATTTTTACTTTAAATTTCTATATTTTCAAAAAATAGGATAAATTTTCTGATTTAGGCACAAACTTTTTAATAATAGATAGTAGATCGATTGATGATCGCGAACAAAAAACGAACTCTATAATATTAAAAAAAAAAATTGATTTTTCTGCTTATTTCAGAAAATAAACATACCTGTCACTAAAATGCTGATACATTTTCTTTCACAACATTTTTTTGTTCTAGATTGGGTGACGATATTTATATAAGTATAATAAATATAATTGACCTATTCTTAAGTAAAAAAAATATATATATATATATAATTTTTTTTTTAAATGAGGACACTGAGGATTTAAAGATTTGATTAATTATAATTTTAAAACAATTTAATGTTTTGTATATTTTTAATGCACTATAAAATTTAATAGTTGATCTTTTCATCAACCTTAATGAAATTGACCTTGGAAAAAAAATATATGTATATACATATTATAGTGAATGTCAGCATCAATATCATTAAAAGTTGAAAACAAGAAGATGAATGTAACTTCTAATTTAACACCGTAAATTATTGTCAACAATAAAGAGTTTTTGCATAACGTTTTTTTATCGTCTGTTATTTTTTTTCGCCCTAGCGCGCATGCTCATAGAAAACATTGTGCTATTGCGCATGCATATCTGTAATATTGCACTACTGCTCATGGGATTTGAAAGAATTTGAAAGCATTTCTGATAAACAAACATGTCGGCAAACTGATGAATGGCTGAGGAGTTGACTAACTGAAACAGAAATTAATAAGGGAATTACACGCTATAGACTTCATTTAAATAAATTAAAATATTTTTTAGATTAGTCTAGGATCTTGTACAAAGAGAAAAATGTGAAATGTGCAAACAATTAAATTTAAATAAAAATATTTTTTTTTTTACTAATCAGCTGAATGAAAAAATATATTTAAAAACTTTTTAGTCCGTTTTATTAGTCCGTTATAAATTCCAATTTAATGAATTTTCTTCTTTTTAATACGCTTTTATTAGTCTCACCAGTATGTTTGTTTGTTTGTATGTAACTGACTCTTTGGGCTCGATTTTGCCCTACTTTAAGCGATCCGATTTAATTTAAACATTGTAGACTTATAAAGGACCGACGACAATAAAATATTGTGACAAGTTTATTATCTCATCATGATTAGGATCGCCAGGATGAGTGATTTTATTTTAACTTATGAAGAGCAATTTAACCCATGTAGAATGAAAGTACCTAAGACATTCAAACCTACGTAGCACAACGGATAACGCGCCTGACTACGGATCAGGAGATTCGCATTTTGCCTATGTTTTACTCTCAATTTGAATTTTTGCAAGAACTATAGTTCCAGTCCTCCGTACTGGGAGCTCATTTAAATATTATAGTTTAAAAACACATTTTTAGAGTTAATCAAACTAAAAAGTAAAAAAAATTATAGTTTAAAAAAACTGAAAAACACGCTTTTAGAGTTAATCAAACTAAAAAGTAAAAAATAATTGTTAACATAAGAATAAAATTACTGACGAGAAAATGAATGCCATTGTTCTAAAAGCGTGGAGTGCTCGTTATCAATCGTTATAATTTTTCACTAGTTTCATTCCGAAATGCAGAGTTAGTTTAAAAATGTCTTACAAAGCACCCCACGCTTTTAGAACAGTGACATTCATTTTCTCGTCAGTAATTTTATTCTTATGTTAACAATTATTTTTTACTTTTTAGTTTGATTAACTCTAAAAGCGTGTTTTTTAGTTTTTTTAAACTATAATTTTTAATAATAAAGATAATGACAACTAGAGAATATTTTTTCACAATTTGATTGTTTTATAAATTATATTCCCTTAACAGGCCTTCAAGAATAAAAATACGTATCAATTTCAGAATGGAACATTAAATGATATAATCACTGTTCACATATTCATATTCATATTCATTTTCATGACATAGATGTTAGAGTGAGTCAAATAATACGCTAATGTACCACCAAAAAAAGCATTTGTTTACTAACAACTGATTGCTATTTGTTTTGTATTGGCATGCCTTTAGCGAACAATTTCATTACTATTTAAAAAGATGTATGTATTTTATAGATTTATTTATGTGGAACTTTTTAAAATTTAGATTAAATTACTTATTATTTTCATATAATTTTGTGAAAGTTTCTTGATTTAAATATTTTAGATTATATGAAGCAATATTTTTTAAATGAACATTTCTTGTAATGTATAACAACTATGAAAGAGATTTAAGAAACCTGAATTAATTTTAAATTCAATTAATTTTAATTTTATTTTTTAATTCATGACATACTTTAAAAAACAAATTAGTAAAATTTTTGAAAATCTTTACATAATTATGATGAAAATGTTAAAATAGATTCCTACAATATGCCATTTCTTTAAATAGAGAAAATGTTCTAACAAAACAAACGAATTTATTAAGAAACACTATAGTAAATTTATTTCTACTTGTACTTTTTATAAAGTTGTATAAAATAAATTAATAATTTCACATGAAGCATGCAAGAAAAAAAAAAGAAAATTGTAATGATTTATTT